TACTATATAACACACCTCACCACACCCTTACCTGCTTGCTTCACCATCTTGACCACCAGTCTTTCGTGAGGCGCGGTAGCAAATATTACTAGGAAAATGCAGTCTACCCAGTCCTCTTTTTTTCCTTTCTCGATTTCATAACCTTGTAAACTCTGTTCATAATTTAAAAGGTTACTTTGAGGTGCTTCCGGGGCTTAGCGTCCCCGCGGCCCGGTCGTCGACCAGGGTAGATATGACTGGGAAATAGGTCAGAAGTCGTTGCACTAGACAACGAGCGGGTAGAAAAGCCGGGTACAAGAGCTATTGCTCGATCATGTAGGCACTAGTAACTGAGTATATACGGACACACACACACACACACAGCTTGAGGCTTCAAGAAGATCTGGACAAGCTGCAGGAATGGTCGAACAAATGGCTGTTAGAGTTTAACCCAAGCAAATGTAATGTAATGAAGATAGGGGTAGGAAGCAGGAGACCAGATACAAGGTATCATTTGGGAGATAAAATACTTCAAGAGTCAGAGAGAGAGAGAAAGACCTGGGGGTTGATATCACGCCAGACCTGTCCCCTGAAGCTCATATCAAGAGGATAACATCAGCAGCATATGCCAGGTTGGCTAACATAAGAACGGCCTTTAGAAACTTGTGTAAGGAATCTTTCAGAACATTATATACCACATATGTCAGACCAATCCTGGAGTATGCGGCTCCAGCATGGAGTTCATATCTAGTCAAACATAAGACTAAAAGGGAAAAGGTTCAAAGGTTTGCCACCAGACTAGTACCCGAGCTGAGAGGTATGAGCTACGAGGAGAGACTACGGGAATTAAACCTCACTTCGTTGGAAGACAGAAGAGTTAGGGGGGACATGATCACCACATTCAAGATTCTCAAGGGAATCGACAGGGTTGATAAAGACAGGCTGTTTAACACAAGGGGCACACACACTAGGGGACAGGTGGAAACTGAGTGCCCAAGTGAGCCACAGAGATATTAGAAAGAACTTTTTTAGTGTCAGAGTGGTTGACAAATGGAATGCATTAGGAAGCGATGTGGTGGAGGCTGACTCCATACACAGTTTCAAGTGTAGATATGATAGAGCCCAATAGGCTCAGGAACCTGTACACCTGTTGACTGACGGTTGAGAGGCGGGACCAAAGAGCCAGAGCTCAACCCCGCAAGCACAACTAGGTGAGTACACACACACACACACACACACACACACATATATATTACTTGCGTATGACATCCTTCACATGTCCAGCACTCGTGTGGCCCCATAACATGTGTGTCCCATCACTCGCGGATCCACCAGTAATCGCAGTGTTTCATCACAAAACAGGAACATTGTATAGCAACCAACCCACACTCCTAAAGTGACTACCTACAGTAACAGCATGGTGGAACGCGCCAACAGTAACAGCATGGTGGAACACGCCAACAGTAACAGCATGGTGGAACGCGCCAACAGTAACAGCATGGTGGAACACGCCAACAGTAACAGCATGGTGGAACGCGCCAACAGTAACAGCATGGTGGAACGCGCCAACAGTAACAGCATGGTGGAACGCGCCAACAGTAACAGCATGGTGGAACGCGCCAACAGTAACAGCATGGTGGAACGCGCCAACAGTAACAGCATGGTGGAACGCGCCAACAGTAACAGCATGGTGGAACGCGCCAACAGTAACAGCATGGTGGAACGCGCCAACAGTAACAGCATGGTGGAACACGCCAACAGTAACAGCATGGTGGAACGCGCCAAGATGAACACCATGTACGCTTGGACTCCCCCCAAAATGTCACTTTTGTACTATTAAGTATACAGAGTCCAAGAAAACTAACAATTAAACTTGAACATTCCTTTTTTTATTTTACTAAAAACTAAATGTTTTTAGTAAATTTCTGAAGGCTGTTGTGTTGGTGTTGTGTCGTGTTCGCCTCGAACACGACACATATCTACCACATTAGGCCTCAGAGAGCGTGTAAGAGGCCGAGGATGGATAAGTTAGGTTAGGACTTGTTAGCAACAAATACAAAACCTTTTCCGGTTTGTCCAAATTTAATAGTACCAAATTCTATTTTCTAATTGTCCATTATACAAGCATCTGTAAGATGGTCCACTTCGCCACTAACAGTAAACAGAAGTATGAGCTGCATTATAACTCAGCGACGCCTCACTATAACACAGCGACCCTCACCATAACAGAGCGACGCCTCACTATAACACAGCGACGCCTCACTATAACACAGCGACGCCTCACTATAACACAGCGACCCTCACCATAACAGAGCGACGCCTCACTATAACACAGCGACGCCTCACTATAACACAGCGACGCCTCACTATAACACAGCGACGCCTCACTATAACACAGCGACGCCTCACTATAACACAGCGACGCCTCACTATAACACAGCGACGCCTCACTATAACACAGCGACGCCTCACTATAACACAGCGACGCCTCACTATAACACAGCGACGCCTCACTATAACACAGCGACGCCTCACTATAACACAGCGACGCCTCACTATAACACAGCGACCCTCACCATAACAGAGCGACGCCTCACCATAACAGAGCGACGCCTCACTATAACACAGCGACGCCTCACTATAACACAGCGACGCCTCACTATAACACAGCGACCCTCACCATAACAGAGCGACGCCTCACTATAACACAGCGACGCCTCACTATAACACAGCGACGCCTCACTATAACACAGCGACGCCTCACTATAACACAGCGACGCCTCACTATAACTCAGCGACGCCTCACTATAACACAGCGACGCCTAACCATAACTCAGCGACGCCTAACCATAACTCAGCGACGCCTCACCATAACTCAGCGACGCCTCACTATAACACAGCGACGCCTCACTATAACACAGCGACGCCTCACTATAACACAGCGACGCCTAACCATAACTCAGCGACGCCTAACCATAACTCAGCGACGCCTAACCATAACTCAGCGACGCCTCACCATAACTCAGCGACGCCTCACCATAACTCAGCGACGCCTCACCATAACTCAGCGACGCCTCACCATAACTCAGCGACGCCTCACCATAACTCAGCGACGCCTCACAGTAATAGGAGACGCACCATCAGCCACCATCGTTACCAGTCTGTGTGGCTGTCACTGGATGGACCGGTTCACTGTTATTGATTTATGAGGGTCGCGTCTCGCCCTGAATCACGCACGCCCTCAATAAGCGATTAATTCCACAGTCTATGCAAATTTTATGGCTTACATAATAAGCTTATTGGTATTACTGTTGCTGCAAATGCAACTTCCCTGAAAGTTCCCTGAAAGGAAAACGCTTTAACCCCATCTCCATGTGAGCTGGTCTTTATGACGTCTCTCTTCCCCGCAGCAAAAGTTAAATAGTTCACTGGACTGAGGAAGCTTGCAAACAACCTGTAGGCTTATATGATGCACTAAATTTCTTCAGAGGTAATTTGTATTTATTGTGTGCTTTTAGCATGCGGGTCGACGCTGCACAGGTTCCCGCGTGCACACGATCAAAACTACAATTTTCATATATTTCTGACGGATGATTCGTACGTTCACGGGCGTTTAATGAGCCCTGTGTACAGGCTAGATGTGGTGCAGCCTAGCTATGGTTGGCGTTGGATGGCGCCTCTCTCCCCCAACCTGTATACCTTCTCTAACTTCCCAGCACGAGTATATATGTCTTGGCTGGTCTGGTGTAGTGAGGGTGTAGTTGGTCGATGTCTTCAGCTTTTCTAGCGTAGTGAGTGTAATTGATCTGGTGTGGCGTAGTGTAAGTAACCGACTACACTCACCACACCAGACAGGTGAGTGTAGTTGGTCGTAGTGTCTTTGGCTGGTCTGGTGTGGTGAGTGCAGTTGGTCGTAGAGTGCCTGGTGTATGTATCTTACGGTGTATGTATCCTAACAGCCAATTATCGCACCTAAGGCCTTCCTGTCATACTCGTGTCCTTCTAGATCTTGCTTGCCCCGATGTCTTACTGTCCTCTTAGTGTCGTCTCAATATAGTGTACTGTGGCCGAGTGTCCACGAGCATGTCTTGTTTACATGTTCTCGCTCTCGTCTTCCTTACACCATCAGTTATGACGGAAAGGTCGGCCTCTGCTCCACTACCATTAATGACAAAAATAATTAAAAAAAATAATAGTAATATATTACTATTATTTACATTCATAAAAAATCATAAACATATCACACTAAACTGCCATAAACATATAAAATCTTTCCCAAGTCCAGCATCCGACTTCAATCATTTTCGCACATTTTTAGCAGAATATTAGGCGGGCAACTTTTCTTCCTTGGACAAAGTATGAGGCCAGCATTGCTCTTCACTGTTAGCAGCATGGCGGGCATTTAGAGGTGGCCGCCGCCACATCAAAGGCACCACCAACACCCTCGTCAGGCCCAATCACTCGGGCGAAAAAGCCGTGTCGGCAGAATGTTCCCCACGTCGAGTTTAATGTGCAGGAAACTGACTTCACTCACGGCCCCTTATAGTGTTGATCGAGGAGCTTAATAGCTATTACCAAGTGATTTTAGCGCCACACCGGTAGTCGGGGCAGGAGGCCCCTGTGTGCCAGCCGGCCCCCGCTGCCTCCCTCACGCTCCTGGCTGCCTCTCCCCCACACGCTCATCTAACTCAGTACCTCGGCTCCGTTCTAATATTTGCCGGCAATTATCTTGTTCTTGGGCGGTAGTCAGCTGCTCTCTTTCTCACCGAATCAGTTCATGTATAAAGAATGTAACTGTCGTTTCAGCCCACATCGGATTTGAATAGAACAACGGTTGATCATTCACAGTGAAAATCGACGAGACCTCCTGGGGTGTGGGGGGGCGGAGCATGCGCCGCCCGGACTGACGGGTGGGCGGGGCTGGGGGCGGGCTTGACCAATAGACGCACAGGAGGTGGGAGGGGCTAGTCGATACCGTCCCTTTACTTCGGGAAGACAAAGGCGTGCGTTGATTGGCCGGTGAGTGCGGTGTCCCTCCCCTGAAGAACCGTCCATGGAGTTTGTAGTTTTTCTATCAGAAAGACTCTGGTCGCGGGGCTGGTGTGTGCACTGTGGTCAATGTTTTCTACCTGAGTGTGGGTCGGCTTGAGTGGTGTGCACAAGGGGAGTGTGTGGAGGCCGCTACTGGTGGCGTGAGAGCAGCAGCACCGCCGTCACCCGCGCCCTCACGCTGGCTCTCCCCCCGACACTCGGCCCGGCGTCCTCCTCCTCCTCCCTCCATCCCCCGGCGCGCCAGGCCCTCGCCCACGCCACGCACGCCTACCTGGAGACTCCCTACTACCTGAAGCGGGACCCGGAGGACCTGGTAGGGTCGGCAGCGACCCCTCCGGGCGGCGACCTGATGACCCTCAGCCCCCGCCATACCACGCCCTTCTCCGTCTCCGACATCCTATCGCCCCTGGAGGAGCAACGTCGTGCCCTCGACTTGCTGGACGACCGTCGCCTCGACCTGCTGGATTCGGGTAGCTACGGGCGCGCCGCCGCCATGCAGCCCGCCGGCATGCAGCACGTGGGCTACCCGCCCGCGCCGCCGCCCACCACCTACTGCACGCCCGATGTTTACGACGCCCGCGCCTCAGCCCCCTCATGGTACCAGACCTCCTCTTCTGACCCTCGATTTGCAAGTAAGTTCACATAACACATCAGGTGGGAGTATGTTATGTCGCTCCGCGAGACGCGGCAATGGCGTCTAGTGGTGTGTGTTGATATACATGGTGCACCTAGCGATGGTACCACTGAACTGTTGTGGGTGGTCGGGCCAGGGTCTGCAGGCACACCACACCCTGACACCTTCCATAGCGCCACACCTCTCCCGACACAGCTCTTATGGGACGTTTCCTCTAGGACTTTGTGACCTACACATTTAGTCTGTGATTCTTGCTTTGTTCTCCTGTTTCATATTCTCTGCATACTTCAAATAATTCCGTCAAGGCCCTAAGAAAATACAGTGAAAAAATACAAAATTACCAACGACAATTCAAACATATATCGCTATATTCTCTAGAAATCCATTATACAAATATTTAATATAAAAATGCATCTGTTCAGTGAATCCGTCTATTCTGGGTATCGAATATTTGATGAGGGAGCGGAGAGTAACACCGGCAGCTCCTGCGCTGCCCCTCACCACACCCGGGAGCGCTGCCCCTCACCACACCCGGGAGCGCTGCCCCTCACCACACCCGGGAGCGCTGCCCCTCACCACACCCGGGAGCGCTGCCCCTCACCACACCCGGGAGCGCTGCCCCTCACCACACCCGGGAGCGCTGCCCCTCACCACACCCGGGAGCGCTGCCCCTCACCACACCCAAGAGAAATGCTACCCAGTGACCTGCACCCAGGCCTAGGAAGTCCTATACTGCCAGGACTTCACGTAGTGTATTTCTCCCGTCCTCCATAAAGCCAGGACCCTGCGTGTCGCCCTATAGCAAACAGTCAGGCGGCCAAATAATACCCCCTCGCCTATCAAAACTGTCATTTTCACAATGTGAATATCCCCGCGTCAAACATCGCCCAGCTAGCGTGAGACCTCCGCTTGGTGCTCCCGCTCTCCTCCACCCTCATATAAACCTTCGGGGGGCCGGAACAAACACCCCTTCTCCCTAGCGTCGGGCCACACAATCCCTCCGCGTCCTCATAAGGCTCCACGCTCACTATTAACGGACTTGTGGCGCAAGAGTCCGGGGTCCGTCTCATCCAGCGCCGCGTGACGGAAGGGGTCCGTCTCACCCAGCGCCGCGTGACGGAAGGGGTCCGTCTCACCCAGCGCCGCGTGACGGAAGGGGTCCGTCTCACCCAGCGCCGCGTGACGGAAGGGGTCCGTCTCACCCAGCGCCGCGTGACGGAAGGGGTCCGTCTCACCCAGCGCCGCGTGACGGAAGGGGTCCGTGTCACCCAGCGCCGCGTGACGGAAGGGGTCCGTGTCACCCGGCGCCGCGTGACGGAAGGGGTCCGTCTCACCCAGCGCCGCGTGACGGAAGGGTCGGGGAGGGGGTGATCACCTGGCGCTGGAAGGAACGCTTCCCGCTACGAACACAAACGGGTGGCCACGAACGCAACCAGAATTCCGGATGCTTGGCACCGGTGATCCTGGCGGCCGGAGACATTTATCCCTTAGATTATATGCTACGCAGCAGTTGTTTAGAGGATCAGTAATGTAATGTCAAATCACAACTGTGAGGTTAATGCCGCTCGCTTGTCGAGGCGTCGCTTCTGGTGAGGTTACTGGGACACTGAGCGCCGTCAAGCCAGGTGTCTTAACGATAGCATCGTGTTTGTTATTTCCATTAGCCATCGGTGCCATGCTAAAAGCTGTCAGCTGCCTAAAACTCCTTTCTGACCAATCCATGTATTTACGATCATTATAACACTCATGATGCGTGTGCTTGTTCAATGTCAGCGTCGCGTGAGCACTTCCGGCTCGTGGTGGAGGGAAGATTGTACACTCTCTGCAGCATCTCCAGTGCCTGCAAGTCTCTGTCCGTGGCCTCACTAGCGAGCACGGTGGCACCAAGCGCTAACGACTCGAGTGTTAGTGTCAGATCACTTGTGTACCTCGGGACGGCGGCGGGTGTGCGGGGGGAGGCGCTGGGTGACCGACTCACCCGTCCTGTGAGGCCGCAAGCCCATCCCTTGAGCCGATTATGACGCTACTTTGCTAGCCTTTAGGACGTTACTCGGATACCTTGGAATTTTTCTTTCCCTCGAAGCCCAGTAAAACTTTAACTGAAGATCTTAACCTTCAAGAACTGTGAGGGGGGAGGGGAGGGAGGGAAGCGGTATAAGTAATCACATAATTTTATGTTCGTCGGAGCTCCCTATAATATAGCCGAGTATAATTACCGCCTTTAAAAGATTTCTTCAAATTTGAATAAATTAAATAAAGTGTGAATATGAAATAATTTAGGGCGATGGTAGTCACCCTCAGGAGCCCCGAGCGGCGCGGGCTGATCCAGACGGCCAGCGGCAAGTCGGATCATCCCAGTAAAGAAGTTTATGAACACTGGAATGACGACTTGTGGTTTTTGAGAAAACGTCTTAGATCGTCGGACAACATGGGATAAATACCAGCAGCGACCAGTCGTGTGTCTGCGTGAGGGAGGCAGTGTAGCCGTACCTCACACCGGAGGTACTAGCCGTACCTCACACCGGAGGTACTAGCCGTACCTCACACCGGAGGTCCTAGCCGCACCTCACACCGGAGGTCCTAGCCGCACCTCACACCGGAGGTCCTAGCCGTACCTCACACCGGAGGTACTAGCCGCACCTCACACCGGAGGTCCTAGCCGTACCTCACACCGGAGGTCCTAGCCGCACCTCACACCGGAGGTCCTAGCCGTACCTCACACCGGAGGTCCTAGTCGCACCTCACACCGGAGGTCCTAGTCGCACCTCACACCGGAGGTACTAGCCGTACCTCACACCGGAGGTCCTAGCCGCACCTCACACCGGAGGTCCTAGCCGTACCTCACACCGGAGGTACTAGCCGTACCTCACACCGGAGGTCCTAGCCGTACCTCACACCGGAGGTCCTAGCCGCACCTCACACCGGAGGTCCTAGCCGTACCTCACACCGGAGGTCCTAGCCGTACCTCACACCGGAGGTCCTAGCCGCACCTCACACTGGAGGTCCTAGCCGTACCTCACACCGGAGGTCCTAGCCGTACCTCACACCGGAGGTCCTAGCCGTACCTCACACCGGAGGTCCTAGCCGTACCTCACACCGGAGGTCCTAGCCGTACCTCACACCGGAGGTCCTAGCTGTACCTCACACCGGAGGTCCTAGCCGTACCTCACACCGGAGGTCCTAGCCGTACCTCACACCGGAGGTCCTAGCCGTACCTCACACCGGAGGTCCCAGCCGTACCTCACACCGGAGGCTTACACACACACACCGCTAAATTATCTGGAGGCATAATATTCCCATATCAATTCTCCGATCAATACATTCCCTGAGCGAGTGATTGACGGCCAAATTGAGGAATTGAGCTGTGCTCGATCTTGACAGAGCAGCACCACTCAGGGGCTGGATCATTACGGGATGTCCCGGGACGGGTCTGGCTCCACCAGTACACCAGCCTCCCCCACGGGATGTCCCGGGACGGGTCTGGCTCCACCAGTACACCAGCCTCCCCCACGGGATGTCCCGGGACGGGTCTGGCTCCACCAGACCCCCCCCCCCACACCCGCTATATACCTTGTTACTTATAATTGGCAATAAGTTTCCCACATTGGTTTGTTGGGTGGAGTAAGCCGTGAGGGATTCCACGGGCCTCAGTCAACCGCTAGGAAATTCTTCTGGTTTAATTGATGTTGATGTTAGGCTCCACGGGAAGACAGGAACCGCTGAGGGGAACCGGCTGAGGGGAACCGGCTGAGGGGAACCGGCTGAGGGGAACCGGCTGAGGGAAGAAAAGCAGCGACGTTCTTGTAATCATTTGTTGAGAATTTTCTTCTCTCGAGGTTGTCGTCACTGAAGACAAACAACACGACTTTTTATGCTTATTATTCTCCAGCTTTTCTGTGTTTTTCCTCCTTGATTACTCGGCGCTTTTTTTAAGGATACTGTTTTCTTTCTTTCTGTGAAAAATCCATTCGGGATTTTATGAAATCTATTTATATTATTACCTTCATAATTACTATATAAATATCAGACAAAACCTACACTTAATCAACAACGTTTGCTAATCACTTAAAAACTCATTTACGGAGTGTTTTATATAACGTCAATCCTCGCCCATAAAAAAAGGAGAGAAAAATATAAATCAATAAGCAAGACGACTTTTGTAAAGTCTGCCAGAGTTAAAGTATTGTATAAGTGGAGCAAAATGAGCCATTTTGCCTTCCCACAGCTCAACGGGGGCACTAATTTTGTTGATCTTGGCTGGGGTAATATTTGCATTAGTTAATGCTAAGGAATTGGCGCATGAAATTTGTGTGTGTGTGTGTGTGTGTGTGTGTGTGTGTGTGTGTGTGTGTGCTGTGTGTGTGTGTGTCTGTGTGTGTCTGTGTGTGTGTGTGTGTGTGTGTGTGTGTCTGTGTGTGTGTGTGTCTGTGTGTGTGTGTGTGTGTGTGTGTGTGTGTGTGTGTGTGTGTGTGTGTGTGTGTCTGTGTGTCTGTGTGTGTATGTGTATGTGTGTGTGTGTGTGTGTGTGTGTGTGTGTGTGTGTGTGTGTGTGTGTGTGTGTGTGTGTGTGTGTGTGTGTGTGTATGTCCCCCCCACCCTCGTCACTGGCGTTAATGGCCCGTGTGGTGAATTACCCGAGTTTAGTCGAAGCTGCACCGCTTTTGTGGAGGCTGTCTTGAACGACAGCTGGTCTGGGGCGTAAGCTTTTGCTTTGGTGCTTATTAGACTTGTTCCAGGATTGTCGTTGTATACGGGCTTTTTTGGGGGGGTGTGAGGGTGGTTGAGAGTACTGAGCTCGTTGTGAGCTCCAAGCCGCTACTAAACGTCCCTTCAGAATTAATTAAGTGTACTAAAGCATCTTCGACAGAGACTAAGATCCGCTTCTGGAATTAAACAGTGTCCGGTGGACAATCTTTTGACACAATACGTTCGATATTATTGTTCCATATTATTGTAAATTATCTGGGATGATGAAAATTATCTGGGATATTACTGTAAATTATCTGGGATATTTTTGTAAATTATCTGGGAAATTGAAAATTATCTGGGATATTATTGTAAACTATCTGGGATATTATCGTAAATTATCTGGGATGTTATTATAAATTATCTGGGAGAGTATTATAAATTATCTGGGAGAGTATTGTAAATTATCTGGGATATTATTGTAAACTATCTGGGA